AAACTCAAGGTGTTTAGTTTGTTCAGTCTGGACTAATGTAAAAAACATGGCGGCCTCTGTGGAGAGGGTCCCCTCGATGTTAATATAAAGTATTTAAATATAAAGGGTCTTTTCTGGGGTAAAAAAAACTACAATTCATATAATTTAGATGAAATGAACTAGTGAAAACATCATGAGGATTATTCTACATTAAGTGTCTGCCAATAGATCCCTTTCACCTAAATCTTACACACTGGACCTTTAATCAGTGATGGAATCATGGATTCATTGTTTTTCATGAGCTGTCATATAGCAACCACCCCCACAGCAAAGGAGACAGTAAATTGTGAGATGACTTTGTACAGCCAATATGCATAAATGCGGTACATGTACAGTACATGCTAAGAAGGGAATGGAGTGCACATGAAACTTCAGCTGCTTCATATCATTTATTTGAAATAAAAAACCTTGAAACAAGATCGTTTTTAGTACAAATGCATATCAAGATTTCATATGCTCCACCATATTCTACACACTTTCTCACCACCTCCCTTTGTTTTCCCACCACATCGCTTCTGCTTGATTGTTCAGGTGGATAATTAAACAACACATTGAGAATGGACACTTTACCCACTCCAGTAAATCCTCCTGCCTCTTTACAGTTCCTGCATGGTCTGCAACAAGCACTGTAGTATTCCACTATAGTTGGCTGACCATACCCACCTGAAATGATAACCTGTAGATTTCAGTACAGACTTGACATAGTCTTTGTCCCTGCAGCCTGACATGTGCCGGGAGGACATTCAGTCCCTTTCCACCCACAGAGACATTCTCATATGTTAACATGAGAAACTTACTGGCTGGAGTAATACTTGTAAATCTCACCTGACATGTTACCAATGGATGGAAAGGACTGACTTAAAAGTACATTTTATTATAATCTCTACCAAGGAGGTTGTGTTTTCAATCCATTGGTTTTTGTGTTTGCCTGCTTATTTCAGCAAGATTACACAAAAACTACTGAACAGATTTCCACAAAACTGTGAAGATTGGCAAAAAAAGAACCCATTTATTTCTGAGGCAGATCCAGGAATCTTTCATCGCTTTCTTTGACGTGGTAAGATGGGGCTTTTTTTAGTTTTATATTTTCACCAATTTCCCAGTGAATAAAGAATGAATCTCGATGGAAGGACTGACATCTGAGTGTGTGCTATTTGGTGCAGTTTGAATTTAAGAGGACTGCTGGGTAATGGTGGAGGTATTCACTCTACTGATTGCATTTCTAGTAACAAATGTTATCGTCATTTTAATAATATTGTACAGTCTCAACCTTACTTGATAAAGTGCCTTGGGTTAATATATGTTGTGAGCCAGCATTGAAACCACTGTCTGGAAGTCTTTATGATCGCAGCATGTTTCAAATTATTTTCATTGTGTTAATAAAATACATATTTAAAATCAGAGTGAAATCGCTGAATATGACTCCTCTGATTTCCACATGCCTAACTTATTTTCAGTTTGACATGCAGTTAAGTAAATATCAGTCGTAAAAGCAAAGACCTGTGGATTTGATGTCACTGTCCAGATACAGGTCAAAGACTATTTCTCTACTGTGGTGTCTGAAATGCTATGTGTAGTCCTCCCCATAAAAGAAACGTATATGTGGGTTTGAGGTTCACCGGTCCTGAGGAATTTGGAGTAAGCCTGAATAAATAGTAGGGTGTTAGGACACACTTCAAAGGGGAACACTAAAATTTGAGATAGTAGCTCTCTTCCCGTTACTGGATAACCGGGAAGAGCTGGATAAGTAACTAGATGTGTTTTAATTAAGTTTACGCAAACCCTCCTATATAAACGAGGAGATGAAGTTGCTTCGACAGAAGATTCACATTGGCCCCGAATCTCTCTCCAGGCAGATTGCTTTGCTTGTACTGATGCTGAACTTCTTGTAATAAACCTTTATATACAATCAAGACGGTGTCATCGGAGATTCCTTCATCATCTTCACATCATCGCAACCCCAATATACGACTCTACCTTATAGATGTGGGTAGGCGAATAATGGCACAAACCTTTTGGAATCATTTGAGTAGTGCTGCTACACAATTGCAAATCTCTGGAGAGTGGATGTCTCTGTTGCCAGACTCTTAGCAAAGACCCAGGATAACAATTTGAGCCTTTCATTGAGTAAAACACTTTCAGTGGAGTCCTGAGGACTTTAGTGGATGTACTGAACCGATTTCAAACATTTTTGTAAGTTCCATTTATTTACACAGTCACATTTATAAACACAGGGCCTCTGTTCAAAAGCTCTGTAATTCCAAGCAGTATAAAGCGCTGCAGCAGCAAAAGGAAAGTTGTGCTTTTACTTTGAAGAAGTGATTATGAGATTGTTGTTGCCATGATGGAGATCTGCACCTGTCACTTAATCTATCTGACAGTGCGATACGGGGAAAGAATAAAAAAACGTATAATTACAATAATTTGGTGGAGATTTTTTGGGCCTGCAGTTGTCGAGCATTGCTGTAATTTATCTGAGGATGTAGAAAAAGAAATTTTCAACTGACAGTTAGCACACTGCCCCCGCCCCCACTGAATGTGTTGTGTCCAAATTGCACCAAAATCTGCACTACACATACTCTGGCAATTTATAATAGACATGCCAAGTGTGAAGTCGATTAGATTAATAGTTCTTGAGATATGCATTCCAGATACAGACAGAAAGATGTTAGTGGAATTAGTAAGTAGATGCTGTCCTCATTTGCTTTTATATATACTTGAACCCTTGTCCCCTCAGCTGTCTGTGCATAGTCTCTCCAGTCTCTGTTCAGAGTACTGCTCTTCCTGCTTGGTGAGAACACAAGCAGGCATAAGATGATTATCATCAGAAGATAAATCTCTTTGGCATTTATCACTTTCTTCTACCTTTAATTTATCTATTCCTCCACCATTAATTCCTTTTTTTTCCAAAGTAACAGTTTAGCTATTTTGCCCCAAGTTGACGGTGTCACACTGATGAGTCAAAACATTATGACAAGCACGGTCATGGTTACCTGTGTGCAGCTATACAGGCTAAGACGTCCTTTATAGAGTTTTCTGTGGCATAGCAGCCATTCTGTCTGTTTGGGCCTGTGCTGTCCTTGGGCATAATGGATGCAGCGGTCTGTGTTTTTTCCCTCTTCAGGCCAGCATTGATAGTTTTGCACCACTGCTGACCGGGAGCACCCTGCAACCCAGTCGTTCTGACCCCTCTCAAAATCGCTCGGATCTTTACACCTACACATCTAACACTGTGACCGAGAACTGTGTGCTCAATCATTTCCAAAGGCATCATGGACCTTGACATGCACCGTTTTTATGAAACAACAAAGATATTCACTTCATCTGTGAGGGCTCATTCAGTTTTTGAGTGTCTCTTAAAGTGACTTGATACATAATGTATTAATTTATATCAAACTCTGGAAAATGTTTTTACCAGCAAAAGAATGTGAATTAGGATTTTCTTCTGTATGAACAGGATCAGCAGGTGGCACCACTGGTAATGATTCCTCCCCTGAAATGTCTCCCTCCCTTTGTTTAACGGTGTAATGAACATATCAGTGTAACACAAACACACGGACAATGTACTGCAGGATAGCACATCTCTGATTTCATTATGATCTTGTACTATACTGTCTCCTAAAGATCTGCTTGTTCATGTCACATGTCTGTGGTTTTACTTTTCAAATGCAACATATAAAGCGCTGAGTCACTTCTTCAGTGAATGTTAAGAATACAGGGATAAGGAATCATCCTCTGGTTTCCATTAATGCATCTCTCCAATTCCTCGACCTTAAAGAAATCATTTTGGTGAGCATGTTCAGTGGAGTGGTTCATACTCTGTCCTGGACTGAAGCAAACCCCAGAATACAGAGTACCACACTGCAGGAACTAAAGTAAATGTGACATAATGTCCATCCATTGTTAACGGCTGCACTTAGTGTTAATCAATCAAGCAGATGTGACATCACGTCACTGAAAGGATTACTAGAACAAACAAAAAACCCTGTCATGTTGCAGAACACAAAAAAAGAGCAATTAAAGCAAGAGTGAATGAGAATGAACGATTGAACTGCTAAAATGGACACAGAGAAGTAGGGTCATGCACTGATGCATTACAGACAGAACATAAAAACTCTTAGTGGCACACATCAGAAATATTCTGGTGAGCGACAGAGAAAACGAGGAGGAGTAACTCAGCATCAACATCAAGTCCTGTAGTGAAATACGTTACATCTCAGGTTCTATTCTTGTTGTGCTTGTTACTGCACAGTGACTCTTCCTTCACTTCTCATTCCATCTCAACATAGTGTTTTTAGAGATAGCTCTAGAGTGGGATTCAAATAGCTCTTGGCAACAGTATGTCCATGATATTCAACTGGCCTACCAACATTCTAACATGCCAACAGGCTGAAACTAACAAAATAAAACCCAAATTGTGATTTTACATTTCTTTGGGGATGAGTGAGATGATGGAGATCTAAAATGTTAAATCAGAAATACAATAAACATTTTTTTGTATGTCCTTGTATGCATTTACTTTGTTTATTATATGTTAATTAAATGAAAATGATCATTCAAAGGAAGATTATTTACCCATTTGCATTAAATAACTGGTTTTAATTGCGGCATGACTCCTCCATGCCACAGACAATTAAGTGAAGAGGTGTATTGCATTTTTAGTGAAAAACATTTGATTAGTTAATTCAGACAAAAGGCCAAATAATTATCCTTTAAACAAATGTTTCCATTCAGTTGTGGCAAAGTAAATGTATACACAAAAGTAAATTATGTTTAACGATGGGAACTGCATTTATATCAATGATGTTCAAATTCATGAATAGCGTACGGTGGTAGATTACCACAGCAATTAATAAATCATTGTAGTTGTGCTTTGTTAGTGAAGGCTGTAAATACAGATGGCTCACATCTCCACTTCCTCTTACACTGAAAACATGAAGCCTCAAACCATCTTGCACTGGTGGTGTCAGAGTCTGTATAGTAGGGATTACGTGGATCGGTTGACGTCCCACAGATAGACCCACCTATCTCTGTCTATCACATCAATCCATCAGGTCAGATCAGGACAATCACGTCGACCTATTCAGCTGTCAATCGTGACGTCTCTGCTTTTATATCATCAAAAAACGAATTCAAACCAAACCTATGAAAAACATGAACAAAAACAACATTCAACACCTTTTCTAAAATCTCTGATTACACAATAAACTGGAACAGATCCATACTCCCACTTTCTGAAGATGCCTGGGATTCTGCAGGACGCAACTCATTACTTCCACTTTGCATTGGCAATATTACTACACTCCATTGTTAAAATCTGTTGAAGATGACCCTGAACATTTGTCAGTGTGATAAGAGCTACCTTAAATAACAGAAACCATCATTGGGAAAACTGTATTTCACTTTGAGTCTTTTATTTTAGTCATGTCCCATCAGCTAACGTGGAGGGGCCGGATTGAGGACCTATACCCTAGCCAACCACCAGGGGACCATCAACTTACTCTGGCTTCACTTTTGGGAGCTGTCATGTCATCCATCTTTACATACAGTCACTGAATGGAACAACACTGTTTTACTTCAAGCAGAGTAGCTCCTGGTGCACGGAGCATGTTTTGCTGTAGTAAGTGCTGTATGATGGTGAGACATTTACACTTGTCACAGTAGGAATCACCCTGCTGTTCCTTTTTTCAAGAGTCCCAGTGTTTCCTACCAAGACAAGTCAAAACACCATCTCTGAAAAAAGCTTGTATTAGAGCTTCGTCATTGACAGAGTTATGGACGCATTTCTAAAATCATATCTAAAATCAAAACTGCTTTAACGCAAAAGTAATGTGTGATTATGTCTACAAACAATATGTGAGTACTTTTGTAAATGGACTCTGCAGTATTGTCCATGGCACTCACATAGTTGTGTACAAGCTGATCAGAGAGCTGACGTGTAGGTCGAACTGGGAAGTTACATTTGCAGTCTGATCCTGAATATCACAATCTCATGTTCATTTCCAGCGGACATTCTTACAGAATATCAAATCAGTGCAGAGCAGGACCGCAAGTCCGACCGTGTCACAGCCTCACTTTCTTTCACCAAGGTTCTCAGAATGGTTTGACTTAATCCAAAATGGTTTGTAAAATCCAAATCTCACTTGTTTTTTAGTAAAGGTGAAGAATATTTCAATGAGTACACAATATACTACCATGCAACGACCACACATGGACACTCTGGGACATGTGCACTGTTCAAATACACAGAGGAGACACCTAAAAGACAGCAAATTAAGGCTAGGATACACGGGTAGCATTTAGATAGCAATGGTGACTGGAAGTTAATGCCAATAAGGCTGACATCTTGCAAAACTCTCCAAAGAGTCGTGGATAGTTATTACAGTGAGTGTTTTAGTGATGAATTGTGTTTAACTTCTCATTGACGAATATGTTTCAATATGTGGGGCGAATATCTGCACATCACAACTAATATTACAGCTGACTGGTTTCTAAACCTTTCAGATGAAAAGCTAAAACATGTGGTTGACTGTCAGCCCCCCCGTGTGTCCTCCATGTCTTAAACTCTCAGGTTAAGGCCGTTTTGCCTAATTTGATTGCTTCAAAACGTTACCCGTGTAACAGTGCCTCAAAACGTCATACAACCCCACTTTCACCCCTCAGTAAAACATTATAACAAAGGTACAATTTTCATTTACAGCAACGATAAACTTTTTTTTAATGAGCGACCTTTTGTGATAGTTCTTGACTGCCAAATGGGATTTATTTCCACCCATCGGAAAGGGCTAAATTCCCTTTGTGATTAAAACTTCTATCTCTATCATCCATCCATTCTTTGAGTCTTTGTTCTGGCGATTTATTCATCTCTCTCTCAGCATTGTTCTCCTGCAGCTTTGTTTTCCTGCAAAAAACAGATTCAAAAAGATAAAAAGAAATATGGATTATCTGCATTCAATGTACGAGTGCAGCGCCTGTTCAAAATGTGCAGTGGCAGCCGTTGATGAAATTATTATTTATGACATTCGTGTTTTCTTCACATCAAGACAACATGTAGTGATGTTCTATTACGACACTGCACTTCCTGGGTCCTCCGAAACGCACGTGCCTTGTTTAAATTGAACACATAATGATTTTTGAGGAAATGGAAAAACAGAGAGAATGAAGGATATTTCAGGATTTATTTTAGATACTATGCAGGATGTGACCCGTCTCAGTCACCATTTATGGCACAATATATTTGAGTGGCTGTGTATTTATCTGCCTGTATTTTCCTGTTTCCTCTTTATTTTGCTGTGCTCAGGACTTTTCTGGGCTGCCGCATTTTGCAAGTGGGTGTTGGGCCCCGGGCCAACAACAGCACACAAGGTGGGAGGGTGGGACTTTATAAAAACACAGCAACCAGGTTTCATTACTGTCACTGTGTCTCTCTGCTGTCTATGTCATGGATTCATAAAGAGCTGCAGGTCAGAGACTTTTTCACAGAGGATGGAGCTGCACACATGCAGAGGCCACAGTTGTGAGGAATAAACATGTAGGAGTTGACGTGATTACAAGACAAATCAATAACGACACTTAATAGTTAGCTGAAGAAATGCATGTGTCATGATAAGGTATGATGACTGTAGATATCTCAGTGTCCACATTTGTGCTTTTGCTCAAGACTAGGAGAGATTCATAATTCATATTGAAGTTGAAGAAGCAGGATTTCCAGTTCTGCTTAAGTTATCATACTGTGTGAAATTTGCAATTTGCTGTATGAATTGTGTGGGAGAAGTGAAAGATGAAAGCTACCAGAGCTTAAGCACAAAGGAGCTGAAGTTTTTAGTCTTCTCTGTATGTCAGTATTTCCTTTATTTAAATGAACTTTCTACCATTTTGGGCAATTTGCTATAATAACAATAATAATAATAATACTATTCCACCTCTACCACTCATGTATGGTGGCCTTCATGTTATGTAAAAATGCAAAAGGCCCTCTGTAGAGCAAATATTTGGTTTGTCCATTCTGGGCTAATGTAGAGACATTGTGGTGTAACAAGGTGGACTCTGTGAAATGTTTCCCTATGTAGATATTAAGTAATAAAAACACAACACAACCTAATATTCACTCTTTTTTGACATAATGAAGTAATAATAATGTGCGTGTGTGTCTGTGTTCACCTGTTAGAGTGGTTCAGGGTAGGCCTGTCTTGGGTCATACGCCATATCTGGGATGTAGGACTCATGAAGGTCAGGGTCTAGCGGCAGGGTGTCCAGAGGCAGATCAGTGTAGCCATAAGGAGGGTAAGCGCCGTCTAATTCTGAGACACAAAGACAGATCTGGTTCATTTAAACATCTTGTGCAGGTGCACTTGTGGATTTCACAGTTTATCAGAAGAACCCAGATGCAGCAAGAACATGCAAACATGGGGAGAACATGCCAAAACCACAGAGAAAACCCAGTATTAAAACCAAGAAGCTTCTTGTAGTGATGCGACAGCGCGAGTTACAGACATTTTACTAAGAAGATATATGTTGTCAAACTGGCACCATTACAAGTTGCCAAATGAGTAATTTGCATCTCCTAGTTGAGGTTTCCTCATAGATGTACAGACAAATGGATGGAGATCAGAGATGAACACATCTCATCGGTGTAAGTTACCCTGAATGATCTCACCATGGCTTTCATGTGGGTGTCTGTGGCTCAAGAGGTAGAGCTGGTTGTCTGCAGACCAGATGGTCAGCTTTTTGATCCCCTGCTCTTCCATTCCATGTGCCGTGGTGTACGTCGATGCACTGCAGTGTAGCAGTGTGTGGGTGTCAATGGGTAAATGGCCAAACTGCGCTGAAGGGCTCTGAGTGGTCAGAACTGAAAAGCACTTTATACACACAGAACATTTACCATGTTCGTGCGTTCAGAGACATCACCTCACCTCAGCCTCTTTGCCTCTCCTGTGCACCTCTGAGGGCCTTTTGTCTGCCTCCTTTGGCTTCGACCAAGTGCTTATTCCCATTTATACCTGGAACACTGTCGATACAATAGGGATCCTGGCCAGACAGATAAACCTGCTGTTTTGTGTTTACCCTTTGTGTCTGCACGCTTAAGACACAACAAGGAACAATGAGATTGGGATTCATATGTTATGCTACAACCAAGGCTGAACAGGATTGCTTAAACGTATACATTGTAACACCTACTTTTATCCTTTTTCGATATATTTAGTCTATGATAGGATAATTTTTAGCCTGTTGAAATCCCATTCTTTCCCAGTGTTTTAGTTTGTAATAATATACTTGTTTTTAACTTGTGTCTGTATGGGGGTTTTGCTACAAACCCCCCCAGTAGAGACCATGATAGCTTTATAGGGACTTGAGAATTGACGCTGTCATCAACCAGTTACTTATAACGGTGTAGATTTCAGGAGATACACACATCCTCACCTCATTAAAAAAAAAATCAGCCATTGTTGTTGAATTATTAATATAGCAAAGGAGAAATGTGTAATTCTTTTTTTTTACCTGACTCTCATGTGTTGAATGAAACTGTCTCTTGTAGATAGGTAAGTAGAGATAGTGTAACTGAACAAAACGGAACGCTCAATGTCAAACTGATTAGCTACGATGTGGTCGCTGCAACAGTATGCAGTCTGTTTTGGTGCACTGGCAGTAGAAATGAATGTAAATTGAGTCCTTCCATTTTTCAGCTGGAAGCAACATCACCCCCATTTGTTCAGGTGTTCCATATTTTCCAGAGTAGGTGTGCACCTGACCTCATTGAGACATATTCCGTGTGGAAGTTGGAGGTGTGTGTGGAGGTCTGACTGACACTGAACAAATGAGCTCGTCTGGTGCTGACGAGCGCACTGGGAAATCAGCCCCTTCCACTGAACTCTATTACAACTACTGATAGTTTGACAGCTCTCTCTCCGTATGTGTGTGAATGAGAGAGAAAGAGAGAGAGAGAGAGAACGGTCAAGCTATAAGTGGAGGAGAGAACTACTGCAGTGGATTACCCCCCCTTTCCCTTCTTTGTTTAAACAACTTTCCTTCCCTTACTTTTTCTTCTCCCCTCTTTCCAATATGATCATCTTATTTTTCAGTCCTCTTATCTGTTCTTTCATTGTCTTCTGTCGCCCCTTTTGTTTCTGCCTCATCTCTTCCTGCCCTACCTCCTCTTTTCCTCAATCTCTCTCTCTGATAAAGACTTTTTTGATATGGGTTTAGTGAGTGTGTGTAGTATCGCCCTTTCTCTCCCCTGCATGTAGACACCCTGTGTTGTTCTGTCGTCATGACAATGTTGTATTCTTGTTCTTGTCTTAATGGCTGCACATTTTAAATGTACCGCTGTTTGTCAACTCATGTCTTTGTGAGATGTTGTTTGTTGCTGCTGTTCTGAACTAACACAAATATACATCTACAGCAAATATTACTGCTATCAATTCAGTGTAGCAGAGGTAGAGGAGGTAAGCCTCCTCAGGAGAGTCCAGACAGTTTCCGAAAGGGGTGAATGGAGGGGAACACACTATAAACTAGTGATTAAATGTGCTTAGTTTGCATTGTCTAAATGTGCAAAACAATACAGTAGTTTGGGGGAATTTTATCTCATGCCACTACTCACAGAATCTGAAACGAATATCTGCTTAGTACAGATCTTTTTTATTTGGCATCTAAAAAAATAAGCTAATAAACTTAGGTGAATTTGGGTGAGCAACACAAAGTCTCAGACTTTGATAAACCCTGCCAAATATTGATTGCATGTATTTTTTTTATGCTGCTTTCACGTCTCTAAACAGCATATTGAGACTATTCCTAAGACTAGTTGAGTCAGCTGTATCACCTTGACACCTCTCTGAATAATGCCATGGAGTTAAAGTGGACCCAATCAATCTGGAGTTTCAGCAGCATTTATTTATAAGCAAATAAATATGATTAGCAATGTCATAATAATCTCAAGGGACTATTTTTCATGTCTGCTGGAGCCTTATGATTCAACTGAGATATTCACAAGTCAGAGAGAAATACAGTATAAACCCTTTGCCCCTATCAAATATTTTCTGCCAAAAAGTGATTA